CGGGACCAAAGGCCCTCCTGCCTGGGCTCAGGGGACAGGCCACGTGGAGGCCCTTCTGTCCCGGTTCTGGATTGAACCGGGACTAAAGGGGTCAGGGCATTAGTACCGACCCTTTAGTCCCGGTTCATGAACTGGGACTAAAGGCCCTCACCAACCGGGACAATAGACCATTTTTCTACTAGTGCTCGGGGCCTCCAGCTTTAGATGTTAGGCTTAAGTGAGAGGTATGAGTATGTGGTCTAGCTTGCACCTCTTCATCATTTGGATAGGAGTAATGGCAAATGATGTGAAGATGGCGGATTCATGCCTATTGTTGTTATACTTTGTAAGGTTCTCAAGAATAATCAATAAAATGATCGTATGCATCTTTCAGATGCAGAAGCCAGGGGTCATCATCCTTTTCGGAAAAAAAACAGTAGCTGGTGGCGTCTCATTGGAGCAAGTTGCAATAAAAAGAGGGCGGTCCATCCACTTGGGAATGCGATCGACCAGAAGAAGACCGTGTAGTCGTAGTGGAGTGCTGAACGATGCATGATTCACATGCATGCCGATCGAGAAATTCTGATTCCCAAGCTGACGATGCAATTCGCTACACTGACATCTGTGCTTATTACACTATCAAACCATCAAGCAAGTTGATGGTGCATTTTGGTTGCTCGATAGCCTCCTTGATTATAGTACGCCTTGCCGCGGTCTCGCTGTTAATAGTGGACAATCAACAGCTCTCTGGAGCTGTCTCTTTGTAACAAGTTGCAATAAAAAGAAGACCGTGTAGAAGTGGAGTGCTGAACTATGCATGATTCACATGCATGCCGATCGAGAAATTCCGATTCCCTCGATCCCATAATGCGGCTAGTGGAGTACGTGCTGAACTGTCGCGCTCTGAGTACGAGTCACTACGTCCTAGTGCTCGCACGCGCGTGGGCCTTGTGTGAAGAACGCCGGTGCGCGTGGTCGGTTGGTGGCACCGCGCCGTGTATAAATATCGTTCCCCGGCTATGGCGATAGGGCTCACTCACCAGTGTCACCACTCACAGCTGAGCTGAAAGCAAAAGCAGGCCAAGCAGAGCAAAGCAGTAAGCAGCCAGCACTGTTCGAGTAGCTAAGCTAGTGGTGGTAGCACAGCGGCTTGAATTGCCCAGCACCAGCTCCGATCCCATGGCCAGCTTCGCCTCCCAGCTCCTGGACGTGTTCTACGACCTCGTCGAGCGCGTCACCGGCTACAGCGCCCGCGCCCAAGACGACAAAGGTACGTAAACACACACGCGCGACACTCCTATGACAACGGCATTGCTGAAGTATTGTACAGTTGCTAATGATTCGCTATGTGTGTGTGTGTCTTCTAGCGCATGCAGATCTACAGAAGCACAGCATGTTGGCAACTAGGGAGGCTTTCCGGACAGAGGAAGTTGTCGAGATCAGGTCCAGAAATCACCCGGAAGTACCAGGAGGGTCAGGCGCCCAGGTCAATTAACATGCATGGTATGTAGGGCTAGCTAGGCTCTACGTACGTCAGAGACATACATAACGGCCGTGTGGCTTCTCATAGACTCGAGATCAGTGTGCTCAAGATAGTGTACTTGCTGGTGTGCTTCGAAACTTCAGATAATAAGCTCGTGTATGTCCCAGTAATGTTTCAGTTTGTTGATTCCTTATTACCGTGTCTTGCTATCTTAACTTCCTGATCGAGTTTTATGGGTGCTGTTCTGTTGTGTGCTTGTAACTTGTAAGGCCAATAAAGCAGTAACTTGATCGACAGGCTTGTTAATTTTCTAATGATCAAATATTTGTTTTGTAGAAGCTACTGTCTTAAGATATTTTTTCCGTTTACCAACACGGTGAAGCCAGTATGAAAAACATGGATATGCTCTAGAAGACCAAATAAAAAGCAAAGACGATTGGCTCAAAATATATTTTTTCCGACCATCGCACGTTTTGATAATATTAGAAAATTAATACAATTGTAAACTTTACTTTTCAATTCTCGTTGATAAGCCATCATAAAATGTTGATTAGACCTGCCTTTATTATTCTGTTTTGTCATTTGGCAAGGTTGTAAATTTCATCCTGTGCCATTGGTTTTGATTATTACGTGTGGATAAGATTGGTTGGCCTTCACCCGATTCTAACCTTTATAAGAGGAATTACCTCCATATCAGAAATACATGTCGTTTTGGATATAGACACAGTCTTCAAAATTTACCTTTGACAACTGATTTTTACGGATACCATTTTTTTCTTGAGAAACCGGGAGGAGGACTATCTTTTCAAGTAGAAAGAAAAGATGGTGACAAACTGTACATAGGAGTGACCATTTTTTAAGGGAACATGGCAGAGAACCCCTAAAAAGCACAACTATAGCATATCTAGTATGTAGTTGTAGAAAATAATCTACATATAATTTACAAGTTCTCAACCTAAATATTTTGAATTTTGACTTAAAGGCATGCCCAAACATAAGAGGGTTTACGTATTTTTGCAGGCATTGTAAGAGCATCTACAATGAGGGCGCTTAGCCCAGGCGCTAGGCACAAAACCCCGGCCGTTACGCCCAAAATCCCAGCCGTTTTTTCCTATTCCTGGTCAAACCCAGGATTCATGCTAGCATAATGCAACCTATTACGTCGGGCGCTAGCCCTTTTTTCTTCTGCGGTAAGACACGGACTCTGCTGTATAAGCGCCTCCATCCTGTCATTAGCATTGAAGGACACAATGCTAACAGCGGCTGCTACAAGATTATCCCTTTTTTTATTTCCTTAAGCGTCTGTGCAAGCACCCTGGCATTGGACATGCCCTAAGAGAGGGATAACTATATGTTCCAGAAACTTCTCCTTTAGTTTAGTTGGAGCTACTTTATTAACATATGAACAAATTTTATTGCAACTCAGAAAATCCAACATCTTACACATAATGACATGATGTCCAATCTATTATATACTACTAGCAAACATGCTCGTGTGTTGCAATGGAAGAAAAACCTCCAATGAACTTTCTTTTCCTCATTCATCAATTAAGAAACCGAAGATAACGTTAAGATTGTTGATGCTAGAGGTGATGGCAATAGATCACTTTTTATCTGATTATCTGACTCCAAAACACTCGATTTAGAATATTCAGAAAGCCAAGATAATGTTGAGATGATTGGTGATGGAAATGATGGCAATTGATACTCATTTTTTATCCGGTTCCAAAACACTATTCAGAAAATGTTGCTGATTTTAAATATTGGCTGTCAAAATGCTCAGCAATGGTCGATTCAATATTGAGATTCCTTTTCTACAATAACAATATCCAAATAAAAGTTAAACCTCCCATATTCAGATTGATGTGCGCAAACACCGTGCACCCACTCAAGTATAAAGATTTATGCAGAAGAAATAATATGTTAGAAATTCTTCTAAGACACATGATGAACTCTAAATGTACTCATTTTCTTTTATTCATCATGATTATTTCCACATGAAGGACAAAAGAACTTACTAAAAAATATAGTTTCATTTTTCTTAAAGTTGAATAATCATTTCTTCCATTTAATACCACTCACCAGCAAGTGCTGAGTTAACTGAAAATGTGGTGAGTTTATTCTCTTCCACGAAGTATCTCTAGAAGTCGAGAATAAGACAAGGAGAGTAGGAGAAATATTGTGTTTCCACATTAGTTAAAAAAAGGAGATGTGTGTTAATATTAACAATCTTTTCTTTCGCGTGAGGACCAAGAATCTTGTGAAATTGTATGTCACAAAATTATTGGAGATTTGATTTATGCCCACAGGAGATCGCCTTCGGCTCTCTGACAACTTCGGGCATTCTGGAACAATCTCAATTTGGACAAGTTATGAGTGAGGGAGAATTTTAAGATCTTAGATAAATTGTCGTATAAGGGGATTGTATCAACCATTTCTTATTTCTTCCATAGCAGTCAAGGAATGCACGATCTGTTGTGATTGAAAGAAAGAGAACTGTGGAAGCGTATGTTGTTCGGCAGGGACGCGTACATGTTATATAGAGATACCAGATTACAAGATGAGGCGCGCAGGTTGTTACTAGACTTGGCCTCTACTCCAAGCTATACAAAGATAAAACTATCCTAGCTAACAACCTGCTGCCCAAGATTACATGTATGTATACACAATACGTGACAACATTTCACAAAATACTAGCATATACAATTTCTACAAGCCTATCATTTAAAATCCTCCCTCAATCTTAACTCATCAAGGTTTAGATTGTTCTTGAAGGCTTGAAACTGTCGAACTTGTAGAGGCTTAGTGAAACCATCAGCAACTTGATCTCCTATTGGAATGAACTGTATTTCTAATAGCTTTTGTGCTACTCCTTCACGAACAAAGTGATAATCAATTTATATATGCTTTGTTCTGGCATGAAATACAGGATTTGCAGAGAGATATGTTGCACCCAAGTTGTCACACCACGGTTGTGACACATGTGATCTTCCAATCCCTAGTTCATTAAGTAGAGTTTCAATCCACATTACCTCAGCAGTTGCATTTGCCAGAGACTTATATTCTGCTTCAGTACTAGAACGTGAAACTGTTGCTTGTTTACTAGCATTCCAAGATATAAGATTAGACCCAAGAAAAATAGCAAAACCTCCAGTGGATCTCCTATCATCTGGACACCCAGCCCAATCTGCATCAGAGAATGCACTTATTCCAGTTGATGGAGACCTACATAGCTTAAGTCCTATTCCAGTACTTCCTTGAATATACCTTAGTATCCTTTTTACAGGTGTCCAATGTAAGGAGGTAGGAGCATGCAAAAATTGGCAGACCTTATTTACTGCAAATGATATATCAGGTCTAGTCAAAGTTAAGTACTGAAGTGCACCAACTATGCTTCTGTACTTAGTTCCCTCTTCGGCACTCAATACCTTTCCTTCATGCAATTATAGCTTATCAGTGGTAGACATAGGTGTATTGGAAGGCTTACAATCCCTCATGCCTACCCGTTTAATTATGTCTCTGGCATACCTTTCTTGAGTTAACATAATGCCATCATGCATTTTTTTTAACTTTAGTGCTTAGGAAATAATGTAACTCTCCCAAGTCTTTGAGTGCAAACTCACTTCTCAAATTCTTTAGCAGAGCTGAGGTAGCATCTTGTGATGAACTAGCAACGATTATATCATCAACATAAATTAACATAAAGATGATCACCTTCCCTTTCTTGAAGAAGAATAAAGAAGTATCTCCCTTTGAAGCTCGAAAGCCCAGTTGCTGCAGTTTCATACTCAATCTTGAATACCAGGCTCTGGGGGCCTGTTTTAGACCATACAAGGCCTTGTCCAACTTACATACATGATGTGGTTTCAAGCCATCCTCAAATCCAGGTGGTTGCCTCATATAAACCTCTTCCTCGAGAACGCCATGTAAAAACGCATTCTGTACATCCAATTGACGAAGACTCCAACCCCTGGAAAGAGCAATAAACAGAACAAGTCTAATAGTAGTAGCTTTAACAACTGGACTAAATGTGTCCTCATAATCAATACCATAACGCTGCTTAAAGCCTTTAGCCACTAGTCTAGCCTTATATCTGTCTATTGTGCCATCAGACCTTTTTTTAATCTTGTATACCCACTTACAATCTATTACATTCCTCCCTTGCTTAGGAGAGACCAAGTGCCAAGTCTGATTGTTCATGAGAGCTTCATATTCTATATTCATAGCCTTTTTCCAATTATCATTACTTGGTGCCTCTAATAGACTTTGAGGTTCACCGGTGGAAGCAAAATTTGCAAACTTGAAATTTTTCTCATACCTGACTGTCCCATCTTTAAACTTTGATGGCTTCAAAATAACTTTTTGTGCACGTGTAGATCCGAGCCGCAGAAGATCCGAGCCCATCACCTCGTATCCGATCATGTACCCGAGCCACAGATGATCATGTACTGAGTTATCAGCCGCAAAAGATCCAAGCCCATCACCTAGTACCCAATCCGATCGAGCAGAGGTGGGCGAATCTCCCTCGGCCGCCGTGCTCCTGACCGAGCTAGTATCCCACGCGGGTGCACTGCCTGGGCTCAGGTTCTGTGAGCATGGGCCAGGCGACGCATCCCCCGCCCCATGTGACGACGAAGGCGTGCCGGGTCCGCTCGTGCGGGAGCCTGATGCGTGGCGCGCGCCAGACGAAGGCGAGGGGGATCAGGTCCGCCCGACCAATCACCACCGGTCCCGCCCGACCGGAGATCAGGGGACGCCAGGGGACCTGCCTGGGGATCCACAGGCGCGTCAGTTGGCCCCCTGACGCCAAATCTCGCGGGATCAGCGCCCGCGGGCAGATATGCTTCATGTTCCGCACCAGGCATTTCCTGTTGCTCCTGTTACTGCATAAAATCATGACGATTTGAAGTGCTGTTTTTTTCACTGCTGTCTCCGTTAGGGTTAGGATTATTAAACAAATGATCATCAATAATTTGTTCACCCCCTTGATCAGTAGGACTTAATAGATCTGGTGAAAGCAAAAGGATCTCAGCACGAAGACGAGCACCGGCATTAGGATGGAGTGTAGAGAAAGGAAACACGTTTTCATGAAACACAACATCCCTTGAAATATAAACACGCCCGGTGGAAATATCAAGGCACTTGAAGCCTTTGTGAAGGTTGCTGTATCCAAGAAAAGCACACTGCTTGGAGCGAAATTGAAGCTTGTGATTGTTGTAAGGTTGGAGGTTGGGCGAGCAGGCACACCCAAAGATTCTTAAGATAGAGTAGTTGGGTTTTTCATGGAAAAGACGCTCAAGAGGTGTTTCAAAGTTGATTACTTTGCTAGGAATCCGATTTATCAAGTAGGT